TGGTGGTGGGGGGTGGGGAGGTGGTGAGATAGTATTCGGCCTACCACGATCTCCTAGTGCAGAAGAGCCTAGGCCAGGCATGCAGTTGCATGACGGTTTTCTTGCTCCTCTTGTTCCCAGTTATCTGCATTAAGAAAACTTTATTTCCATATCTCACTGAGATCCTGGTCCCCATATGTAAAATTCAGGTAATTTGTTATCATCCTTGCAAAATAATGATGCTGAGAATTCTGGCATGAATTTCAAATGAAGAAAGGCCTCTGAATAAAATAGGTAAGCTCAAGAAAACTCTCCGCCACCACTGCCTCTGTGTTCTTCAGGCTGCCAGTTATGAGATGAGAACAGCAGTAAGTACACAGAAAAAGAATGTTGTGTTCTCTGGGTGCAGTGGTAGATGTCATATGCCAATTAATTTTCCTACGGTTCTTTATTCTACCTGCCTCCGCTAGAATACGCTTGAAATCTAAAGAGCCACAGCTATTAAGTTATAAAATTCTTAGGACTCCAGCAGGAAGCTATAATGTGTTTATTTATAATTTAAAAACACTGAAATGCAAACGTACTTCATGCAGAGGGGCATCACTTGGGTCAGGAATTTAGACTGTAGCCCCTGCCAGACGGGTTTTATTTTTTTAATTATTTAATAGGCTATTTCATCTGGACCAGTAACCATTTTTTTTCATCCATTTCTGAAGTCAACCCTTAAACCCATGGCAGAGATTTAAGACGTAGTGTGACGCAGTAAAATCACTAAAGATACAATATATGCCCCCCAAATATTCTGAATGGTATTCAAGGTACTGAATAAAGAGAACTATAGCACATACATTTTCAGATTTATAGACAACACCCCATAACTCTGGCCACAGACCCAAGACAACATTGAGCTAAACTGATCCCTTGGAAAAGGGAATTTTCTGGATGTCAAAGAGCAATTAAAAAGAAAAGGTAAAAATTTTCTAACACAAATATAACATTAATACATGTCAAAGATTTTATCTAAGTCATTAACTAACAAGTCAATCTGGAAGTTAGCCATCAGTTCAAAGGAGAATTCAAAGAAGACACATAAACAGGCAAGCAGGAAAGTGAAATGAATTAACTAAGAGATGCAGAACTGGGAAATATCCTGAAGGCAACCATCAGTTGCATTCCAAAGTATAAAATGCATTTTCATTTCTATGGACAAGAATCATTTGTATTACTATCAATTTCCTACAGCTCACAGTGTTGTAAAATAGTTCAAAGACAGAGAAAGATGCAGGCCCCTACAAAAACTGATCATTCGGCAAGGTGCTCTAAACAGGACAGCCAGTCATCTTTTCTGCCTATTTCAACATGTTTCACCATTTTTCCTGACAAGAGGGGAAATTCCTGACAATTTTTCCAAAATTACAGGGCTCCTGACATTTTATCACCAAACCTAATGATGTGAGTCAGAGCACACTCTAAACAACAGAACATCCGCTGACAAGCCACAATCTCCAAATTATAAACTGGAGGAAGGGCTTGGCCTGACCCGACTCAGGAGATGGCAGTTATTTAGACATGTCTACAAATCACAAAACACTGGGGTATGAAAACAGTGCCCCAAATAACAAAATGATGGG